CGGTGGTCGCCAGCAGTTCCAGCGCGCGGGGCGCGGCGGGCAGCAGTATGGCGGCGGCTATGAGGGCCGTGGCGGCGCGCGGGGCGGCGGTGCTCGAGGCCGCCGCTTCGGCTGGAAGGACTACGACAAGCCGCAGCGCAACCGCGATGCGTCCATCAACATCAAGGCCGACTGGAAGCTCGTCGAGGAGATCGACTTCAACCGTCTCAGCAAGCTCAACCTGGACGCCGACGAGGGCGAGGATGTCGACAGCTACGGTTTCCTGTACTACTACGACCGTTCGTACGACAAGCCGCCCGTCAAGAGCGCCGAGCGCAAGCTGGCTGTCGTGGACCGCGCCGTGTACAACGTGACGACGTCGTCGGACCCCATCATCCAGGAGCTCGCCGACAAGAACGAGGCCACCATCTTCGCCACCGACAGCATCCTGTCGATGCTCATGTGCGCCCCGCGCTCCGTCTACCCGTGGGACATTGTCATCGTCCGGCAGGGCAACAAGGTGTTCCTCGACAAGCGCGACAACGCGGCGCTCGACATGGTCACGGTCAACGAGAACGCGGCCGACGCGCCGCTCGAGGCGTCGGAGGGCTCCAAGGAGGTCATCAACCAGCCGCCTGCGCTCGCCGAGGAGGCCACGTACATCAACCACAACTTTGCCAACCAGGTGGTGCTCGAGAGCCAGAACCAAAAGGTCGACATGGCGCACGAGAACCCCTTCTACAGCGCGTCGGACGAGACGGAGCCGCCGGCGTCCAAGGCGTACAAGTACCGCCGCTTCGACCTGTCGACCAGCGAGGAGGAGCCCACATACCTGGTCGTCCGCACGGAGCTGGACGCGGTTCAGAAGAACGCCATCAACGGCGAGGACCAGTTCGTCACGGTCCACGCGCTCAACGAGTTCGACAACAAGGCGCAGGGCAGCGGCGGCGCGCTCGACTGGCGCACCAAGCTGGTGTCGCAGCGCGGTGCCGTCGTGGCCACCGAGATGAAGAACAACAGCTGCAAGCTGGCCCGCTGGACCGTGCAGAGCATCCTGGCCAAGGCCGATGTCATGAAGCTTGGGTGCGTATTCATTCCCCCCTTTTTTTTCTTTTTCCGGCGAGAACATCAACTAACAGGGTACAGCTTCGTCTCGCGCGTGTCGCCCAAGGTCAACGACAAGCACGTGGTGCTTGGCGTCATTGGCTGGAAGCCCAAGGACTTTGCCAACCAGATGAACCTGCAGCTGTCCAACGGCTGGGGCATCGTGCGCACCATCGCCGACATGTGTCTGCAGCGCGAAGAGGGCAAGTACGTGCTGGTCAAGGACCCCAACAAGAGCATCCTGCGCCTGTACGAGGTCCCGGCTGGCGGGCTGGACGACGACGAGGAGCCCGAGCCCGAGGTCGTCGCTGAGGAGGAGGAGTAAGGTAGTTGAGGGGATGGTGGTCCGAAGCACAAGCACAATAGACTGAGACTCTTGTGGACCAACATGTACATGTTTGATGACCGCGACGCTTGTCTCATTTCACTCGAGCCTGACTTGAATCGTCCTTGATCCCTGTCTCTCTCCTCGCTCTCCCAAGCCCTTTGAGCGTAAATGGCTGCACGTGACAGCGCGATGCCCAGTGGCGTGTCCACACCCCACCTTTTTTTGCAGATCGAGACCGCGTTTGCTCGTTCCCAGTTCCTCCCAGTTCCCGCACCAGATCTCCCCCTACATCTTCCACATCTCACCCCGCCCTTGTCCCTCACAACCCCGCCTGACCAACGAGATCTGTACTCACATCACCCAACTGCATCCCAGAGTGGAATCCAGAGAGATCCGAAACTCCAATTACCTCGACACCCACCTACCCACACACACACACGATGGCCCCTTCAACGACGAAAACGAAACCAAAACCCAAAGCGAAACCCCCGAAGCTGTCCCAGACCCGCCTCAAGATGGCGGCAACACCGCAGAAGCCCGCGTCCGCGTCCGCGGCCAAGGCCAGGACCCCGACGACGACACGATCCAACAAGCCGAACGCCAGCATCCTGAGCTTCTTCAAGAAGGCGTCCGAGGAGGGGCTTTTCATCGAGGAGGGCAAATCCGGTGTCGCGCTGGAAGGCGGGGTGGACGAGGAGGAGCTGGATGTGGAGGTGGAGGTGGCTGAAGAGGCGGGGGAGGGGTTACACGGTGGGGAGGGAGGAGGTGAGCAAATCTATGAGTCGAGTCCTGTACGGGAGCAGCAACGGCGACGAGAGGAGGGCAGGTATAATGAGGCTGGCGGGGCGGTGAAGAGGCGGAGGTTGAGTCTTGGTTTGGGAGAGGGGCTGGGGGTCGGGGCGGGAGAGGGAATGGGTATACTGGAGCTGGGCGGCAAGGGGATGGACGAGCCCAAGGCGGAAGAAAGACGAGCTGCGGCTCCGGCCAAGAAGAAGCCCGGGAATCCGTTCTTGGATGACGACTCCGACTCCGATTCCGACCCGGACGAGGACGGTATCGAGACGCCGACTGCAAGGGTGAGATTGCCGCCGCCTGCGTTTGATGCCTCCCGCGAGAGAGACCGTTGTGGTGCCGGACCGGCCAAGCTTACCAGTGCGACGACCATTTCCAGGGTGCCGCTTCTCAGGCAGCAGACGTCGGGAGCGGAGTTAGGGGGTGATTGCAACGACGACGACGACGACGACAACGCCGGCGACATACCAGATGGGGATCCAAATGACCACGACGCGGAACAGCTGGAGGACGAGGATTTCACGGGCGAAGAGCTCAAGGCGATGCGATACATGGAAGAGCAGGCACGGTTGGAGGCCGAGGCGGAGGGGGAAGAATACGAGGCGATGGACATTGGCGATGACGACGACGAGGCCATGACGGAGAGCTGTCCGGTCTGCAACGGCAGTCTTTCCGGGGCGACCCCGGACCAAGCGACCGCGCACGTCAATTCCTGTCTCGACGGCAACCCGACGCCCCTGCCGAAACCATCTGGTAGCGTCGCAGAGGCCGAGGCTGTGGAGGTGAGCAAACGGTTCGCCAAAGCTGCGGTGCCCCGGCCGGGGCAGGCAAACCCCATCAGTCTGGGGGGCGAAACGGGAGGAGGGCCGTCCACCTCGGCGTTTGCCAAGCTCATGTCTGGTCACGCCGAGGATGCTGCGTGGGCAACGGCTGCGGCCGCGGAGACGGCATCACGAGGCATGCCCGCGTACAAGCGGACCTGTCCGTTTTACAAGATCATGCCGGGCTTCTCCATCTGCGTCGACGCCTTCCGGTACGGGGCCGTGGAGGGCTGCCAGGCGTATTTCCTGAGCCACTTCCACAGCGACCACTACGTGGGCCTGACCGCGAGCTGGACGCATGGCCCCATCTACTGCAGCAAAGTCACCGGCTCGCTCGTCAAGTCGCAGCTGAGAACGGCCGCCAAGTACGTCGTAGAGCTCGAGTTTGAAAAGACGGTGCCCGTTCCCGATACCAAGGGCGTCACCGTCACCATGATCCCCGCGAACCACTGTCCGGGCAGCTCCCTCTTCCTGTTTGAGAAGACCACTGCCGGGAGGACGCAGCGGATCCTCCACTGCGGCGACTTCCGCGCCTGTCCCGCTCACGTCGAGCACCCGAAGCTGCGCCCGGAGACGGTGGATGCCATCACGGGCCGGACAAAGCAGCAGAAGATTGACGTCTGCTACCTCGACACCACCTACCTGAACCCGCGCTACTCCTTCCCGCCGCAGCAGGACGTGATCCAAGCCTGCGCCGACCTTTGCGCCCGTCTCAACAAGAGCCTCCTCGCCGACGACGCCCGCGAGTGGGACGCCCTGCAGCGGCGACAGGGCAAAGGCGCCTCCTCCACCACAGAAAGCGTCACCAAATTCTTCGCCGCCGCACCCCCACCCTCCTCAACAACAACAACGACGACGACGACAACAAAACCCTCCCCAGCACCGCCCACCACCACCAACGGCAACAGCAACGCCTTCACAGCCCTCACCAACGCGCCCCGCAACTACAACCCCAACCGCCTCCTCGTCGTCTGCGGCACCTACAGCATCGGCAAGGAGCGCATCTGCGTGGCCATCGCCAAGGCGCTGCGCACCAAGATCTACGCGAGCCCGGCCAAGATCCGCATGTGCAAGCAGCTCGGCGACCCGGAGCTGTCGGCCCTGCTCACGCCCGACCCGGCCGAGGCCCAGGTCCACATGCAGATGCTGATGGAGCTGCGCGCCGAGACGCTCGCCGAGTACCTCGAAGGGTACAAGGCGCGGCGCGAGTTTGGGCGCATCGTGGGGTTCCGGCCGTCGGGGTGGAGCTTCCGGCCGAGTGCGCCCACGGCGGCGGCTTCTTCTTCGAATCATAATGGCGGCGGCGGTACTAGTGTAGCTGGCAGTGCGGGCGCGGTCGGCGCGAACCTGCCCCCCGGCTCGCTGCCGACGGCGCAGCTGCTGCACGGCGCGGGCTGGCGGACGCGGTTCGGCGCGGGCGACCTGGTGCCGCAGCGCGGCGCCACCCGCGAGGCCATGTGCTTTGGCGTGCCGTACAGCGAGCACAGCAGCTTCCGCGAGCTGGCCATGTTCGTCATGGCGCTGCGCATCGAGCGGGTCGTGCCGACGGTCAATGTCGGCAGCGAGGCGAGCCGGCGCAGGATGAAGGGGTGGATCGACCGGTGGGTCGCGGAGAGGCGGAGGGGAGGGCTCGTGAGGGTTTTGGAGGAGGGGGGAGGGGAAAGGAAAGAGGGTGGTGGGAAGAAGGGGGGGGGGGGGGGAGAGGCGTTGTTGTGGGAGGGCAAGGAGGGCAAGGGTGGCGGGGTGTATTGGTAGGGTTTTGTTTGTGGTCGTTTGACATGGGGACATGATGATCCCCTGGGAACAACTTCTCCCTAACACAAGCTGGTCAAAGTAATCCAAGGTACTTTTGCCCGTCATCCCTCCACATATGCACACATTGAAAACACAAAAAAAGGTCGCACAAAATCAGACTCCCCTTTCTTGGAGGGAGAAAAACAAAAAGACAACGACTGTTACTGAGCAAGTAACACAACTGGGAACTGTGAGGCTCGAACTCACGACCTCAGGATATCCCGATCTGAGACCGGATCATACAGAACACTAGTATGAGACCTGCGCTCTTCCAACTGAGCCAAGCTCCCTGTGGAGTTTCTTTTGTGTGTTTGTCGTTCTTGGCGTGGAGGGTTGGAGAGGAGGCTCCATATGCGGAGTGGGTGAGGGAATTTTTTTTGCTGAGAGGGGGGAGAATGTGGAGCTCTGAGTGAGTCTATGGGGTGGTTGTCATGTTACTGTGTTGTCTTTTGATGACTGTGGCGTTGGAGTGCGGATGGTTTCGTCAGGCGGGTTGGGTGGTCTGGGGAGAGTTCGTTTGAGGTTATGGAAGGGGCGGGGAGGAAGGGTTACCTAGCTGGGATGAGGATGTTGATCGAGGGGGTATGGTTGGGCATCGCATGTCTGTTGTTGAGGGGTATGACTGCCGCTGCCTTGTATATTCAGAGGACACAGCGTTGGAAGTTCACGACGAGAAGGGAGACTGTGAGGGATGACAGGTAGGCTGAAGATGGAGCTGGTAGTTGCTTGGTATCCGAGCTATGCCCTGCGTATGCGCTTCCATCTCGCTCCTCAGCGACAGGTCCGCCTGACCGTGTCCCAAATACCAAAGGCTTTCCACCCCTTAGCACCCCGGCGGCGCTGTGCCTTGTCTCCCGTTGCCTTTCCCATGCCACTCACATCGCACCAAATGGTCATGCTCCGCCCGACCACACACACTCCTCGTGGAAACCCATCCAACCCCCCCTTTATGCCCTTCCGCAGAACCGCATCCCACTCTCACCGTTTCTCATTTCCCCTTGCCCGCCTGGTTCGCGGCCTCTGTTCGACGTCAGAATCCCTTCCCCTCCTTCGTAACCTCACCAGATAAAACCGGCCGCTGAAAGAGAAACTCACCTCTCCTCGTGGCGTCCTCCAGCAGCGGGATATCCACCGCGTTCGCGGGCAGGTGGACATATCTCACCACCGAACCGCGGATGAAGACATTCTTGACGGCGCTCTACCACCGCACACATCGTTCAGCATTCATCCATTCATCAAAAACCTGACACCGCAGCAGAAAAAAAGAACTCACCATGTGCGGATACTTGAGCTCCTCGAGCACCTGGATGTTGTCGAGCTTGATGTTGAGGTACTGATCGACGCTCTTGAGGACGCCGCGGATCTGGATGTCGTTCTTGAGCTCGACCGTGACCTCGTGGTCGATGAGGGTCTTGAAGAAGCTGTTGTGTGTGTGTGAGAGTCTGGGGTCGAGAGAAAACCGAGGATTGAGGCGGCTTGTGGGTGATGGTTTTGACTAGGGAATGAATAGAAATGAATAGGAAGGAATAGGAAGGAATGGGATGGGGGCGGCGCCAAGTGGAAAGGGGATGAAGTGAGAATGGTCGGTGAGAGTGGATGGCCGGTGACGGTGGGGCTGCAAGCTATGGTGTTGAAGGGACGAGTCTATGGAAAACGTTGGGAAACGATATGTCGTCGGACTGGGATATGGTGGTTGAGAGGAGAGGTGAGGGTGGGTGATGGAGGCAAGTCCAGTGTTGGATGAGAGATGCAGCGAGGGGGTAGAGACATGACATAGTCATCTCTGCCCGCAACCAAAACAAGCAAACCCAAAGCCTTGCATGCCCACATCCCGTACCCTTGAAGCTGCCCACCCCCCCCTCAAAACAAGAACCCAAAACCCATACCCAGTCGCCAGACCCAAGTCGCAAAATCGCAGAGAGGAGACTCTGGGGTCGACGACCACAGGAAAATCCACGTAAAAGGGAAGATAACTCATGACAAAATGAACCATGCACATACCTGAAAAACAACATGTTGAAGGACGTTGTGGTGCCGCCCAATAGTTACGCGACAACAAAGAGCAGCAGTCACTCAGAACTCCGTGTTGGTGATGTTCCTGGTCAGTGCAGCTGCCGAGCCTGATGGAAAGCACCAAAGGTCCGGACCCACACCTTGTCATGCTCAATCAGCCCAGCACAAGAGTTGGCGCCTGGAAGTTCAGGGACACAACATGTATCAGGGTTGGGGTTATCTGCACTCAACTGACCTGGGCACGCTGGGGAAGAGCCAGGGTCAGCAACGTAACAGAAACACCAACCACACGATCCCACAGGCCCAACCAGCCCCCTCCAAACCAAAGCCACAAGTTTTAGTGCAATCACGGCAAAACCTCCGACCGGTCCCAGGCCTAGCTAGTCCTCGCGCCCCGGCCCGTTCCCTCAGAACCACAAAACCGCCATCATCAAATCGGCTGGCCAACCGCCGGCTCGTCAAGGGACCGTGGTTGCGGGCCGCACGCAGTAGTCCAAACACACGACTCCTACACTCCCAGTCCAATGGGAACACGAGATATGTAAAATGGGCAAATTCCATTCGGTGCGTGTGTATGTATGTATATCCGGCGACGGATCAGCCATTCAGAGTCTAACATCCAGAGCGTTCCCCGGCTACCAGACCCGGGGGGCGTCAAAAAAAAAGAAAGATGGTCGTGAGAAGGGAAGAAACACTTAAAAATCACAAACGCAACATCGTCAAAACTAAACGCAGTCCCTCCCACTCCACCCATCCCCTCCTCTGACTGCAACTCGTCTTCTTTTTTGTTCTTTGTCTTGGTTGTCTCGGGCGTCCTCTTTACTCTTTCTTTCCTGCTCCTGTTTTCCCCTGTTCCCCTCGGTTCCCATCGCGGGTTCCATTCTGCCAGCCCAAGCCCACACACCATGTCCATCCCTTCTCCTCCGCAGCGCAGAACGACGCAAGAGGTATCCTCGCCAAAGGAAATGAAGAAAAAGAGGGGAAAAAATGGATCAATAAATAGCAATATGGTAGGAAGAAAAACGAGTAAAAACATCCACAAGCGGGGGTATGTTGGGGGTATCCGGTCGTAACCCATCAGTCCATCATGCACAATCTTTCCCTTCCCAGTCCACCAGAAAAAGGAGTGCCCCTTCCCGCCCTGCCGCCGTCCCATCCCAGGGATCCCCACCCAGTAAATTCCAGCCTGCCAAACGGGACCGCCAATGCTATGCTCTGTGTCGCTGATATGCTGTGAGGCCAAGTGTATCGTGGTATCCGGGAGAGGAAAATACGAAATAAGCCGCTTCGCCAAACCAGAACAGAAACCAAAACACGCTCAACCCGGAGAAACGAGTAGTCGCCCCCTCGAGACCCGCCAGTGTTGATGCCACATGGAAAAGCCAGAGTAGTGTTGCCCAATCTGGAGAAAGATAACAAAGAAAGCAAACAGTAAAAAAACACACGTCTCGCCAGCCCCAAGACTCCTCGCCAAAGTTTGTCCGGTTTAGAGAAATAAGAGTAGGGTGGGTTGTCGTAACTTCGTTGACCGGTTTGGGGACATGTGAAAACGAAGGGTGCAAAGCGCAAACTGCATGGACCCTCGTTCTCACCCCTGCCAGCTCGTCCATTGCGACGGCGATCGTCATTCGTCGTCCTCGTCGTCATCCTCGGGGGTTGACGCCGCTCTCTTCGACTTCTTGGCCGGCGTGCTCGAGCTGTTGCCCTCCGACTTGCGCTTCGTCGCGCCCGTCGCCGTTTTTGTGTTCATCACGGGTTCCGCTCCGTCCGCCTTGTCGCTGGACCCACCCCCGTTCCGGTCCTTCTCCATCTGCGCAACCTCCTCGGCCGTCAAGAAGCGCCCACCGGGGCCGCGGGGCCGGCGCATCGCGTGGTTGTGCCTCGATTCGTGAAGGTAAGGCTTCCGGCCCTTGCTAGTCAGCCGAAGCGCCTCCTCCAGTCTCTGCCGGGCAACCCTGCGCTTGAGAATGCGATGGAACTGCTTCGCATTGACGTAAAGAGGCGACTCCTCTACGGCGCCCGACGGCATCTCGGGCGACTGTGGCGGCGGCATCTGCTGTGCCGCCGTCATCGGGGGCGCTACTGACGGGCGCGGACCGCCGTGGTTCAGCATCGTCGGCGCGTTAGGGACCCCAGGGCTTGCGACCTGGCTGAGCCGCCGCTGCTGAGCCATGCTGTTCATCTGCTGCGGCGACCGCGGCCCTGCCCTGGCGTCCTTCTTCGCGCCGACACTCGCCATCCTCGGCGACTGCTGCAGGCTGGGGTCCGACGGCATGTAGGGATATGAGGAGCCTGAGGCCGCGGCGGTTGCGGCCATGGCCGCAGCTTGGATCCCCGGCATGCCGTAATGCATGCTTTGCTGAGGTACCGCATACTGTGCTTGATACATGTTGTGCGGTTGTGTCGGCGACGGCTGGTGTTGCTGCGATGGCAGGATCGGTGACGTCTGAGAAAGGTGCTGAGTTGAAGGGGAAGTGATGCTGTTGCCGCCTGCCGAGGTAGGATATCCTGTCTGGATGTGTGGTTGCGAATGTGCGCTTTGTGGTTGTTGCTGGTATTGGGCGTATTCCATCATCCTCGGAGAGGTCCCGACTCAACGCCGAACTCGATCGGGGAGACTCGCACTGCTGTGGATAGGTTGGTGAAAGAGGGTCGACTACTGCGGAGTCGACTGCAATGAGATCTGATACAGCTTTGATGACTGGAACTACCACTCAGATTGACCCAAAGACGTCAAGCCCGCTAAATGAAGCTTCGAGACCTTGATCTATTACAGATCAACGGTGCACTGACAAGCTCAGGTCACTTGTACCTGTGGATTGGGCAGGATGTGCACCCAATCTATTGGAATGATGCGTTGGCACTCGAAGGGATGGTAGCGGAGCTGCGCAATTGGTCGCACCGCAGCATATGCAGGCTGATGTCGTTGCGAGGGCGAACTTGGGTGGCTCAGTCCCAGGCCTCTCGGGAGATGGCGTGGACAAGGGCAGCCACGTGAGGGCGGGCAGGAGCCTTCTGCGGAGGCACCTGGCTCTCTGTCGTGAGAAAGGGCCTGAAACTCCCCGGACCGTACCGAAGCCGGGCTCTGGAGAGGCAGGGAGAAACAACAACGGTTGCACAAGTGTAATGTCGTAGCAAAACAAGCCCCAGTTGTTACTCCAGGGTGGTTTTTGCCGTTTGGTCTTACTCTGGCGGATCAGATCTATCAAACCCAGTACGTTAGTGTGCCAGTTCTTGAGAAGAGTGAGAACACTCCAGTGGACAAGACGGAGAGCGG